GAACTCCTTTACTTAGCTCTAATCTATTCCAGGCACCGTCAAAGGTCCCATTCCCAGCTGTCCAGAATCCTTGTATCCTTGTCTTCTTCAATGACTTGTATATAGAAGGGAAGGTGTGAGACACCTTGTCTCTTAAGTTTGAAGTCTGAGCCAACTGTGGTTTCAGATGTGGTTGCTATTCTTAGAATGCTTGATATTTACTGAAGGTCACTTGAGGAGGTGTTGAGCATTGGTCCCTGCCTCCATATGTCCCCTTGTATTACCCTTTCTCCTTGCCTTCAGTTAGACAATAAAGGAGTTAGTGTTTGGTGTCTTTGCAGTCAGTTCTAGAAGACTTCTGTACATTAAAAAATATGTCTGTTGCTGAAGACTGAATTTCTGTTGAACAGATGAACTTTGCAAGGTATGGTTGAACTTCATCAATCTTTATATAATGTATTTGTTTTATATTTACTGTACAGTTAATGCCTATAAATATAAATACCATATACATTTTTCTATTTCTATTCTATTCTGTTTAGCAGATTAGCATTACTGTTGTTCTAATATCTGTTGTAAATCCAACGTTTTCTTTATACACAGTAATGTGGAAAAGTTTTTGAACTACGCCTCGTTTCTTTATATTTTGCATCCAAGAAGCAGGAATTTCTTGATAATGTGTATTTTTTGTCAGAATGTTGCATGAATTTGCATGAAATTTTCTTACCCTTTCCTTCCTTCAAAGGTTTTCTTTTAATGGGAAAACCAGAGGAATGAGACAAACTCGGGAATTGCATGTCATTACCAAAGGTGAGTTCTTGGGAGAATTGCTGTTTGGATTTTTATAAGAGGTCACAAATCAGACACTTAACTATACCAATGTAGATATGTGCATATGAGAAAGTCTTGATTATATGGTTGAATTACGCAGTGGCTAAAAGGCCAAACTACTGTCTATATCAGTGGTCATTATTATAAGTTACCCTTGTAAGTAGGACAAATTCTAAATAACATGGTCTCTTTGCAATAAAGAGCTGAAGCTAATTAGAAATCTGCTGGAAGTGCTGAGGGTGCTGTGGCGCTGTGGGGTATTGTAGGGAACCTCTATGTCTACAACTACTAATTGAAAGATAACATTTTAATTTGGTTTTTTTCAATGAAAATAGTGAAGTTTAAGTTGCTTAGGTTCATTCGTGTTTCTAACTATAGTGTAGTTACCAAACTTTTTGTAAACGGGCATGCTGTCACACATGAAAATGGATATGGAAATTTCAGATTAATCAATTAATCCATGAAAAAGGGCGCAAGTTATCAGATGATCAGAATCAACTGACGTAATCGTGTGTATTGTGCTTATAGTACACACGATGAATTCAAAAATATCTTGGCTGTTTCATTTGCTGTTCAGAGGAGCAGGGAGCTAAACTTTATAGTGTTTGGATGCACAGGGCATGATGAGAAGTTCATCAGTGTGTGACTGCTGAGTGAAGAAACACTTTGTGCATTGTGCTCTGCTAACCATACTGTCTGCCCTAGCGTTGCCTGTATCCATGATAAGCCATGTTCTGATCATCAAGATATTTTGTCAATCTTCCCATGAGCTAGGTGCCATAGTCACTTTGTGTATTTACCCAGTATTTTCTGTATTATTTTTCTCTGATGATTATCCTTTAGTATTTGACCATGATAAAACTGTATTATTGTCATAGTGTTTTTACTACTGTATTTTACATTATTAGGACACAAAACATGCAAAAAAAAAAAAAAAAAATCCAAAACATGCACAACCAATATACATTTCAAAGAATGTATCAATTCTCTATAGCTCTTTTCTGGATGGGTGGTGTAGCACCTCTTACATAAAACAATGTTTTCACTAGTTAATTAGGTGGGAAAACTCAGCCACCATCCATTGTCTAGAAACAATGCATTCAAAAGACAGCATAGGTCCAGCCAATCTATCATGAGAAACACTGACACACAAACAAACACCCCATAAAGCTGTTTAACATGAAGCTGCCTATTTCGACTAGTGAGGAAGTTTGATGTAATTATATAACTTTTTTCTTTTCTTTTTTTCATATAACCTTTTTTATCAACTGTTTTCACTCCTCCATTAAGAAATTAATGATTATTTATTAATTAACTTATATATGAAAGATACAACTAGTTTCACATTTTGGACAGAGAGGACAGATGGTTTGAAAGAGGAGTGAAAGAAGTCCACTGTGAACGAACATCCTTGAACAGAGACGGTGTCTGCCATCTATAATCCAGTTTTGAGATCCCTTCCCAGACGCCTTAACGCCCACTCACATCCTGGCCCATCCTGATTAGGTAGAGGATCAATAGGGGGTCCACGACCCTCTTGGTGACACTCCCATTAATTAATAGGACTGCCACTAATAAGCAACAAAAAAAGTCAAGACACAGTTTCAGATGCAGATTCGTTTTATTCTACTGACCAACCAACATGCATAGGGAGACACCGTTACTAATACATCCGATGTCTCAGAAACAGGGATTCAGACCATGTGTTTTACTCCTCATCATGACCTTTCTGGAAACAGAGACACAAACAAGAGAGAATGAAATGTTGTTAAGTATTATTGGACATATTAATGGTTCACTTTAATTGACTATACTATGTGACAAAA